CGTGCTGTCCCAGGCCTGCCTTCCTCTGTCACACTCCTGGCGCCCATTATACTTCAGAGCAGGGCTTATGTTTGCATCATCAGTGGCACAGATCTGTGGGGAGGGGTGACGAATGGCAAACAGAGCCGCTGACAAGCGCCTGCCCTGAGACACAGTGGAGATTTCAGGACAGGGCTCGCCATCTCTCTGCCTGTTTTGCAGCTGTCAGAACCGGCCACGCCTCCGTCATCACTCACAGTCCCCCTTCACGTCCTGGCCCGTCAGCCACGGCGTGTGCAGAGCTGCAGGTGGGCCCGGGCCCCCAGTGTTCCAGGGGACCGCTGTTTAGGGCCCCTGCTGTAAGGGCCGCTGTCTGAGCCTCCAGGGTGACCTCACGCAAACACAGAATAGAAGCTGCTTTCGTTGACCTCAGCCAGGCAGCCACCCCAAGGGAGTGACAAAAATGTCTTCCTTGTGCCCCGGCTGAAACCCCGCAGGTGGGCTGCACAGAGCTTCAAAGTCTTCAGGGCGCACCAGGAATGTTAAAAAAAAGAGTTATTGGATGTTTAAGAGCCGTGATGGCAGATCAGGCAACCGGGGCATTTAGAATACAATCAGCCATGACTTGGAAAAGACAGGGACGCAAGAGGAAGTCTGGCTGAGATGAATAAGAACCCAGACCCGGGTGGTCCGAGCAGCGTCCCGGCCTGCTCGGGGGGAAGCCGTCGTCCCCCGTGGGAAGCAGAGCCGGGGGCTTCACAAGTGCTCCGGAGCCGGCGGTGGGGCTGAGCGACCTGTGTGCCCAGGACCTCCCGGGTCTCAGCGGTGACAGCCCCGTCTCCCTCCCGGGCAGGCCGGCTCCTGTGCGGGCAGCCTGGTGCCCACGTGTTGTTCTGACGGGCAGGAGCTCACTGACGCCTTTCCTCGCCTGGGGGTGAGTCAGCTACTGAAACAGCTTAGCCCAGGATGGAGGGAAGGCAGGGACGGATGGGGAAAAGTCCATGTGCCTGCTGCAAAGAGAGAGACAGAGATAGAGACAGAGACAGAGTTTGGCCCTGACCTAAAGGCACCAGGAGGCAGAGCCCCTAGCATTAGACGGCTGCTGGCCCCCTCGAGCCCGCTTCCGGCCCCCAGTGCGTTGCGCTGGCAGGCACCACACCTGTGATGATGTGGGGAGAGAACGATGGGGACACGGGGCTGGGAGAAGAGGCGACGGGAGCGTGCCAGGTCCCACCTCGGCAGCCCTGGGAGTGTGGGGTCCCTTGAGGAGAACGGTGGGTCCTGAGAACATCTGGTGGTGGCGGCAGCACCCCTCCTTACAGACGCCCGGCCCCTACAGAACCTTACCTGAAAAGAGCTGATAAAGCTGCCTGCACCCTCAGTGTGCAGGATTCCCGGAACTGGGGGACGCTTTCCAGCTGCCCGTTTTCCTGGGATGGAGGGCGCTCCAAAGGTGACATACCAGCTTCCCGTTGGATAGACGTGGGTCTCCTTCGGAGCGAGGCCTGAGGTGACACTCAGGTTGCATCACTGCCGTGACGGCACCGTCAGGAGCTCCGTCATGCATGCAGGGCGCAAACGCCCCGCTTTAAACGTGGGTGTCTGCGTGAGCCTCAGGCATCCTGATACAAACGCGGGTGTGCCGACAAGCCAGAAGACGTACCGCCCGTGGCACCGTCTTGGTGCTAATGAGATTTTTGGTGCATGACACTGGCATCCAGGGACTGAGGGTGTCACCAAAGCACCCGTTACCATTTAATTTCCAAACGACAACGTCACTAGCTCTGCAGTTACTTAAAAGCTGCCTCTCTCCCCCCACACTTACACACACCTACACACACAGTTTCCTCTCGTGCTCTGGACGTTCAGTTATTGATTGAGCACATTTTTTACGTTTCAAATAAAATAAGCTTTTAAACCGAGAATGCCGTGTGGCCAGGCATCTGCACCCTGCTCTGATAATGCCTTGGCGGCAGCTGTGAAAGCCTCCCCCCAAAAGTAAGGGGCCGTGTGAGGAACCAGCCCACACACCGACCTGCAGGGGACCAGCCGCCGGGACGAGGACCCCCCAAAGCCCAGTCTAGACACCTGCTAACGACCAGGCCCTCAACCTTCTCTGTCTTCCTCACCCCACAGTGCCTGGTCTTTGAAGACGCGCCCAACGGGGTGGAGGCGGCCCTTGCAGCTGGGATGCAGGTGGTGATGGTCCCCGACGCCAACTTACACCGGGACTTGACGGCCAAGGCCACCGTCGTGCTGCCTTCCCTGCAGGACTTCCAGCCCGAGCTCTTTGGTCTGCCACCCTACGAGTGACAGGCCCACCCCGCCTTCCCGGGCATGGCCCCCAAGTCCCCTGAGTGAGTGGCCCAGGGGACGGGCCACGCCCGCGTCGCCATGGCAGTGGCCATCCCAGCCTCAGGACCTGTGCCTCTCTCGGCCGTCAGTGCATATGAAAAGCCAGAACTGGACAGTTGAGACAAAGCAAAATAGGGACAGCCCAGAACAGAGACGAGAACAGATACCTGTGAATAATCATAGGACGTGATTGTATTTGCATAGTCATGTAACAGTCTATGATTATGCGTGTATTGTGACTACGCATCCACGCATACACATGCTTGTGTGTGAAGATGTGTATGCATACATACGAGTACGTAAATACATGCTTTCCCAAGACCAAATTAAACTATATGTGTGTGCATTGCTTTGTAGTTCTTCTAAACCCTGAGTGGACCATGTAAAGGATGTATACATACATGTCTATGCCTTTATGAATATATACGTAGGTACGTACATGCCATTTGCATACATTCTACACTTAGTCACGCTTCTCAGTGCTGATATTAACGTGCAGCAGCAACTGATAAAAAAGTGAGACGATAATTCTATTTGCTTCNGGAGACAAAACGTAAACCTTAGACGTGAGCGTGCTGATCAAAACTTAATCACAAGTAAAGGTTCAGGCCTTCTCAAAGTTTTCATCTCTTGCAGTGTGAAAACTGAACATATTACATAGTTAGGTATAGACTAAAATCTACTGCAAAAAAGGGCATAATGAAAGGTTTCACTTAAAAGCAGTGGTTTAGTTGAAAATTGTTCCTAACGATTCGATTCGGATCATAAAGGGCTTTATATATGATGACTAGCCGTGGGCACTGCTCTAGGAGGAATGTCACATGTGCTACATGTAATCCAGGCCTTCTTCTGAGAGTCTGAACCGTGAACGTGCAGTTACTTCACCTCCAGTGTTTTGCTTTACCAGTGAAAGGGAGACCTTTATTCCTTGGAGACATTATAGTTACATCTGAAAAGTTGACTAGTTCCAGAAAAGTGTGTAATGTAAACAGGGACACCAGTAGTGGTTGGAAACATAGAATTAGTTCCCAAGGGTCCTGTCAGACTGTTCTGGACAGCGTTTGTCCTTGAAGATCTGAAGGGCACAGATGCACAGGGCCGAACGGTGACTTGTCACCTGATAGACCGCCTGTCCTGTGCGGCCACTCCCTTCTGCTTCCTGTGCTTTGTTGCTGTGAGCTGGTGAGAAAGTGACATGAGGGCATGGGGGGTGGGGACAGACAGGGATGACTCCGCACCGGGGGGCACTGAGCATAAAACGTCACCTGGGAGTGGGAGCGAGAGGGTGCCAGGCGCTGTCAGAACCGATCCCGGACCCGGTATCTAGGGGCCCACGAAAGCCATCCCCTCCCTCCACCAAAACCGCGGCCGCAACGCCCCGCTGCTTCAGGGAGTTTGGCGTCTTCTTGCATCGGGGCCTGTGCCGTGTGCGTCCATCAAGCTTTCCTTGTTCCTAGGCCTCCGCTGATCCCACCCCGTCCTGTCTGTTCCCCCACCGCTGTCACACACACGCTGGTACGTGGAACGCCCGGGGTGCATGACACTTACCTTTGAGACATTCAAGCGCGGGGACCCTCTGCCTCCCTGGTGGCTGCGATGGGCAGCCCGGTGGAGCGCAGGGTGGCGCAGGCCTCCTCCGGGGCGCTGCCGGCGTGCACATCTTCAGAGAAGTACGTGCAACACCTCCAATGATTCACCCCGACATGCTTCACCTCCCCGGTACTTGGAAATGTCATTCTTGCTAAATTAAACCCCTCGAGCTACAGTTTAATTAAGCTCATCTGCTCTCCTGGAAATGGAATTCAGATATATTTTCGCCTTCAGCTTGGTAGCGGGAAAAGAACATTGGATTCCGGGGGCCTGGGCTCTCTTCCTCAGCTGTCCCTTGCGTGCCTGGGTGAGCTTGAGTTTACCTCTCACCTTCCTTGGCCCAGACCCCGCACCTGTGACAGGAGAGGGCCGCCAGCCACTGCCCCACTGCTCCGCCCCTGTGGCCCGGTGGTGGCTTTGAGCCCGGCCTCCTTCCAGACAAGCGCAGCTGAGAGTGTTCTTGACCAGAAACTCCCTTGAAATCATGGATGTGTGTGCTTGGAACAGCCGTGCCTGTGCTGTGCTACCAAGATCAGCCCATGAGCTCACGTGGTGTAGAATGTGTGTCCGACACACGCATGCCCAGGTGACTCCCGTCTGGGGCAGAGCGGCGACAGGTGGCGTGGGAAAGGGACAGCCCTCCCACACACACACACTTGTGCTGGCTGAGCCCTGTGCCTGGAGGGGAGTGCGTCCTGCCCAGAGCCGGGCCCACAGGCACGACGCACAGTGTAGGGGTGGGGGCCGGGGTGCAGACACATGACGCACAGTGCACGGCGGCAGGGTGAGTGTGCGCCCGGCTTGCTGAGTCAGTGCAGGGAGGTGAGGCTGGGTTGCTCACCGAAGCACTGACACGGGAGGAGGAGGCGGCCCAGGTCACCCAGCGCCACGCTTTTCACACCGGCCGGGTGTGCCCGGGAGAAAGTGCGGACACACTTGGTGTTTGAAGAAGAATCATATCGCGCGTCCTCCTGTGTTTGCGCAGGGCGGAAGCTCTGTTGTTTTAGCCGATCGTCTCAGTGGCTTTCTCACCCGAGTCCTGGGATTCTCGGGGGCAGCGTGGCCTGGTACCTTGCACACGTAGTCGGGGTTTTCGGGACGGGCCCTTGTCTTCCACCCGCCGTCCTTGGAAGCGCCTGCGACCTGAGGAGCGCACGCCGGGAGAATGAGGAGAGGACAGACACATCTCCCGACACCTTTTCATAGGTGCTTCCGAAGGTCGCGGCCGTGCTGGAATCTGAGGAGGGAAGCCCTCACACTTCCACGGCTGCCCGGTCAGCAACACTCCCGTCCTGTGGGCACCAGGGGCTGTGCTGGCGTCTGCTCCCTGCTCTGCGTGCGACTGCTGTCTAATTTGTGTGACAGCGGCACCTGGGCGTCCAGACCCAGCCCTCCTGGTGTCCTGCAAACTGCCCACGCCTGGCTTTTCCTGCCGGCCTGGCCCGTCCCACCTCCCAGGGACTGGTCTCTTTGCGTTCACACATGTCCGATGTGTGTTCATGTCCGCGCGTTTCTCAGACTGAATTCCTGCTCGGAGGTGACGTGCATGAGACCAGCTGGCATCCGTCAAACATTTTTACACAACTACTGAGTGAAATGGGTGCTGAACGGAGCGGGAGGAAAAACGGGATTTAGCTGCCGGTGACACCACACATGTGGTCAGGGCTCTGTTAGTTTTTCTCTTCTGTTCTTTTTGCGGCTGAACTAAATGGACTTGACCTTCGGTACAGTCAGTACCGAAGTGGCTGGTTCGCAGAATCCCAGAGTAACCGGGGGTCCTGCCTGCCTGGCATTCCCGAGTCATTCTGAGAGCTGCCGCCTCAGGTATGCACGCTGACACGTTTCCAACGGCCCTTCCATTGCTGAGCTGATTATGTTATTATCAGCTTCGCGCTGCTCGCAGGAACACAGACCCACCCTGACGTGTCGCCATTCCTCGTGCTGTCCCAGGCCTGCCTTCCTCTGTCACACTCCTGGCGCCCATTATACTTCAGAGCAGGGCTTACGTTTGCATCATCAGTGGCACAGATCGGTGGGGAGGGGTGACGAATGGCAAACAGAGCCGCTGACAAGCGCCTGCCCTGAGACACAGTGGAGATTTCAGGACAGGGCTCGCCATCTCTCTGCCTGTTTTGCAGCTGTCCGTACCGGCCATGCCTTCGTCATCACTCACAGTCCCCCTTCACGTCCTGGCCCGTCAGCCACGGCGTGTGCAGAGCTGCAGGTGGGCCTGGGCCCCCAGTGTTCCAGGGGACAGCTGTTTAGGGCCCCTGCTGTAAGGGCCGCTGTCTGAGCCACCAGGGTGACCTCGCGCAAACACAGAATAGAAGCTGCTTTCGTTGACCTCAGCCAGGCAGCCACCCCAAGGGAGTGACAAAAATGTCTTCCTTGTGCCCCGGCTGAAACCCCGCAGGTGGGCTGCACAGAGCTTCAAAGTCTTCAGGGCGCACCAGGAATGTTAAAAAAAAGAGTTATTGGATGTTTAAGAGCCGTGATGGCAGATCAGGCAACCGGGGCATTTAGAATACAATCAGCCATGACTTGGAAAAGACAGGGACGCAAGAGGAAGTCTGGCTGAGATGA